AACTGCATACATATACATAGATATGTAAATATTCTTAATAATAAAAATATTAATAACATTTCTAGTTAATAAAAAAACTAAATAAAAATTTTAGTGTATAATAAATAGTTCCACATTATATTTAAAATTATGAAAGGTCAAGGTTAGCGTTCAGCTTCTTTATCACTTCGGTCAGCTCAATTACTGAACTGTTCAGCTGTTGAAGCGCAGCAACCAGNGTTGATAAAAAAACTAAATAAAAATTTTAGTGTATAATAAATAGTTCCACTTTATATTTAAAATTATGAAAGGTCAAGGTTAGCGTTCAGCTTCTTTATCACTTCGGTCAGCTCAATTACTGAACTGTTCAGCTGTTGAAGCGCAGCAACCAGGAGCTCATGCTGACTAGCATCTCTTTCATCCTTAACTTTAAGGCTATGCAGTGCAGCATTTAAACTTGCTACGGCTTGCGTTGTTTTCACTCGTGGATTGTGGTCTTTTATACCTGTCGAGGCAGTAGGGGTATCATTTAAGCCGAGTGTTTCGGAAACGGGAGTCTGTTGTGTTTGAAGCAGTGTAGAGTCTTGAGCTCCAGCGGCCATCGGGGACAAAACTAAGTCATTGGGTATGACCACCTCGGTTTCAATTATATCAATTTCTACTGGTTGGGAGTTGCACGTTGGTTCCTAATGATAAATTATAATTTGACGTACATAAGTGAAATTCCTTAAATACTTTAGAAAACTGCATATCACGGAAACATACCTCATGCCCCAATGTACCCATGTTTAAGCGACCATATACTGCTGCCACCCCAAATGTTTTCAGCGCTTGTTGCTCGAATTCGGACACATCTTCTGTCGGTGGTCCACCGCCTGTTGCCTTTGTATGCTCTACGACCCTTCGTGCTCTGCTCCGCAGCTGGTTTTTACATCCGGTTAATGTCTGTAAATGAGGTATATATGCACATACACACATGTGTACAATCATAATTAAAAGAAATATATGTATCTACATACATGAAATACAAATTATATAAGAACATATTTATGCATTTATGTGAGCAGGTTTGCTCCGTTCCGTCGTAAATATACAAATTTCAAAAAAAAACTTACTTTCCACTTCGCTACCGTGCGGGTGGGCCCACGCATTGCATTTAAGTTCTCCGCTAGCTGCATCCACAGGGATTCTATCAATTTCGGAGAACTTGGCTTGTTTTTTGCCGTTTGTAGCTCCGGATGGTCCTTGCAAAATTGCACATAACACTGAAGCTGCCCCTGCGTGGTCGGATTTTCGGTCGGTGGTATTTTGGATGTCTGGAATATGTTAAAAGGTTTAAAACAACTAAATTTTAACTATTTTACATAAATACTCACTTTTCTGGTATTTCGCTGCTTGTCATGACTCAGGAATCTGGACTAAATCTCCAACACGTACTCATTTACTAAGGACTTATAACAGTCAACGCGACAATTGGTTGTTAGGAGATCATGGTTATCCACTGGAACCATGGCTTCTAACTCCAGTCGCAGAGCCGTCAAATGCAAAGGAGATTAAATACAACACCATACATGCAAAGGCTCGAAATTGCATTGAAAGAGCTTTTGGTGTTTTAAAGTCCCGCTTTAGGTGCTTGGCAAAACATAGAGTTTTGCATTATTCTCACGAGCGAGCCGGAAATATTATTTATGCTTGTGCAATTCTGCACAATATCCTTCTCAAACACGGCGTCGCTGCGGACTTGGGGTTCGAAGTGCTAAACGAACTTGAGTAAGTTAATGAATACGACGAAGTTGCAGAAAATAGCAATTCAAGAGAAGGAGCAAGAGTAAGGGCAAGAAACATATCTTCACTATAAAAGCACGACGCACTTGAAGGTAAACCGGGTAAGTTATCTATTGATGTGTTTATACCAGTTTTCTAACCGATGTGAGAAATAAAAAAGCGATTTGAAAACAAATTCGAGTCAATACACTTTCGAATTTCTGAGCGTATTGAAAGTTGGTTTATGCTTCCGTTTTGAATCACAACGAACTGGGTCAAAGCGCTTTATGTGTTGGTATAAACAAGGTATATATTCTATTTACGATATTTCCAGTAAAGTTAAAATATTTTCTATTAAATTTTGACTTAACGTCCAACCAGCTCTATACTGCTGTTCCTGCTGCATCGTACCACCATATTGCCTGGTGATCTAACAACCCAGTTTTTTGCTGTTTCTTCTGCACTGTGCCACCGCTGCGTTTTCTATCCATAGTAAATATTCAGCCTTATCATGACTTTCATTTCCCCCGAACCGGTTCACTTTTTACTTTTGGTTTCCATGTATTTACTATGGGTGGAATAAAAATTTTCGGGAGAAGTTTTTTTCGGGCGAAACTCAGGATAAGGCAGATTTTTTTATAGTATTTAATTCATTAGTCTACATAAATAAGTATTCGTAAAGGCTATTACTTACATTACATCAACTGTAGAGTTTAAAGATTAAAATTGAATTTGCATTTATTTATTGCCACTACATTCCCACGCACTATAAATTGAATGACAAGCGCATATAATAAACAAATAAAACTCAAAAATATGCANTATATATTCTATTTACGATATTTCCAGTAAAGTTAAAATATTTTCTATTAAATTTTGACTTAATGTCCAACCAGCTCTATACTGCTGTTCCTGCTGCATCGTACCACCATATTGCCTGGTGATATAACAACCCAGTTTTTTGCTGTTTCTTCTGCACTGTGCCACCGCTGCGTTTTCTATCCATAGTAAATATTCAGCCTTATCATGACTTTCATTTCCCCCGAACCGGTTCACTTTTTACTTTTGGTTTCCATGTATTTACTATGGGTGGAATAAAAATTTTCGGGAGAAGTTTTTTTCGGGCGAAACTCAGGATAAGGCAGATTTTTTTATAGTATTTAATTCATTAGTCTACATAAATAAGTATTCGTAAAGGCTATTACTTACATTACATCAACTGTAGAGTTTAAAGATTAAAATTGAATTTGCATTTATTTATTGCCACTACATTCCCACGCACTATAAATTGAATGACAAGCGCATATAATAATAATATAAAATTCAAAAATATGCCCATGACAATAAATCATTTTGATATAAAAAAAATTATTTACTTGGCAAATTTTCATATACTTACATATAACAATTCTATTTAATTGCAATAAAAAAAAAACATTTAGAATTAATAACAAAAAATAGCTATTCTAGCTAGATCACAAAACATAACATACATACTTAACTATACAAGCCTTGATACGGTGATTTTTAGTTAATATTCAGAGTATGTTGCATGCATAATTAAACAACACCATAAAAATCTCAATTCATATTGGTATGCATATATGTATATTTTTTGTTGTATAATTATTGTTATACAGTGAAGCCTAATGAAACAGTAGCCAGATATTTGCAACTTCAAACTGATACGATTTTTTGAGTTTCAATTATTATTTTTAAATATAGTTCATTCACTGACATAGGCCATGTAAATCAAAGCTGCAAAATTTTGTGCGAAATTCGTGAAAATTCAACAAATTCCAAAATATTGTTATCAAAACTTCAAACTTTTTAATATTTTTAAATTTTTTTAATTTTCTGATAAAACTTTAAAATATAAACATCTGAGTACTGTTTCTAATAATTTTGTGGGGTACTCATTTTCTTAAGAAATATTGTGAATATTAACAAAAAATCACTGCATCGAGATTTACGCTGTAAGTGTAATTATTATTTGACTATTCCAATTCATATTTGCCCTCACATACTTGTATTTGTACTTCATCTCTGTATGCATATGTACATATGCATGTACATTGGCGCTCACGTAAATAGCACACTTTTATTTCTTGCAATATTCACAATAATTTGCGCGATACATTTTTGTCGTTAACTGTTATAAAAAATATAGTAGATTATGTACTATACATACGGTAACCATATTAATCATCGTAAAATAAAGGACATTTTTTTCAAAATGATTTGGGAATACAATTTATATGATAAAAGTACCTTACCCATATCGTAATTTAAATCAAATATTTATCAGTTGATTATATTATTTAATTGTACAAGTTCCCCTGCTGTAGCGATAAATGAAGCCAAATCCTTTTCAAGGACTTCTCATTGCTACCAAAATGCGTTTATCATAATTCATACTGCGAGACGAAGCCAGCACACAGTGGTTCAAAATTGGAATTTTATGGTCATAATCCACCGTAGCCTTAATTTTTAAACCAGTTTTTACTGAAAAGCAAAAAAAAATTTATTTTGGTGAAAATTTTGATAACATTTCAAAATTTTTTTGTGTACTTTTTCTGGTTTGGGTGAACCATACAATTGTTTTGAACTTTCTGTTATGTAACATTTATTACCTGGAACAGGAAAATACATTTTTTTCAAAACTGCTACTTTTTCTGCATTTTGCACAAAAAAATTTAATATAATCAAATAAAAATTCAGAAATCAGGCTCATCTGGTCCATTGCAAATATTGTAAGCTTTCATAAAAAAATTATAATTAATCAAATGAAGTGAAAAATGAAGGCTCCAGTGAATTACGAACACTAAATGCCGGTTTTGAACCACTGTGTAGCAGGGGGTTTACTGTTCTCTTTCAGTGGAACTGGAAACTCAACGTACGAGACGATCCTGGGCACAACTTTCCCTGTGCTTTGTAGATTGTACAAAGATAACCGATTAAATAGAAACCCTTAAGTCGGGTGCGAAGCAAACTGGCGAAGGTTTTCATTATATTTTATAAGGGATTTTTATTTTTCATATTCTGCGTTTAAAAATTTACCTCTGAAAAATGCAGAGCCGATTTAAAGGACAGTTTAAGAAATAAAGGACAAAAGGTGTCCTTTATTTTGAAAAAAATTATAAAGGACAGGGGGTTAAAATAAAGGACTGTCCTTTAAAATAAAGGACGGATGGTCACCGTAACTATAAACCAAGTAAGTGAAAGTTTGTAACTTTCTGCACAATTCAGGAAAATTGAACAAATTTCATCAAAATTTTCAACTTACTCAGAATTTTTAGAAATTTACTGCGTATGCAGTTTTGTGACCTATTCAATTTTAGTACAATATCTAACGTTGAGGTTTGAAAATTCTGAAAAATCCCGTTGATTTTTGAGTTTTTTTTTGTGGAGGGTTTTGCGCATTTTCTATTGTAGAAATAGATAGAAAAAAATTGTCAAAAATTAATGGAAAATTTTCAGAACTTTCAAACCTCAACGTTATTGTACTAAAATTGAATACGCCACAAACTAAAAATTCTGAATAAGTTCAAAAAGTTGAGGAAATTTGTTCAATTTTCCTGAATTGTGCAGAAAGTTCTAAACTTTCACTTACATGGTTTATAGTTAGTACATAATTTACTATATTTTTATAAACAGTTAATGACAAAAATGTATCACGCAAATTATTGTTAATATTGTAAAAAATAAAGGGGAGTTATTTACTCACAAAATAGAGTATACGGCGATTTTTTATTATTCACTTGGTTTTTTATGTTAAACAATTTTTGTTAATTATTTATTAAAATATAACCTACATATTAAAAAATACCACATAAATCGAAGTATGAAACTTTATACGAAATTTAAAATAATTCTCCAGTTTCGTCGAAATCAAAAACTTTTTCATATGAGTATGTATACAGTATTATTGTCCATTGCATTTTAGTATAATAATGTGTAAATTGAAATGTCTTAAAATTGATTTTGCTATTTTTTTGCTGACGGTGCTAGGCATATTCTTCCAATATAAAGTATTCCCAGATTTTTGTATATGAATTATGTATTTTCTACATAATTTCGCCAACAAAAACTTTAAGTTTTAAGACATTTAAAACTTGTACAATATTATAGTAAAATCCAATAAGCAATAACACTCCATACTCTAAATTTACTTAGAAATTCATATGAAATAGTTTATAATTTCGACAAAACTGCAGAAAATATTCTAAATTTCGTATAAAGTTTCAAACTTCGATTTATGTGGTATTTCTTAATATATAGGTTATATTTTAATAAATAATTAACAAAAAATGTTTAACATGAAAAACCAAGTGAACAATAGGAAATCTCCATATACTCAATTTTGGGAGTAACTGCATACATATACATAGATATGTAAATATTCTTAATAATAAAAATAATAATAACATTTCTTGTTGATAAAAAAACTAAATAAAAATTTTAGTGTATAATAAATAGTTCCACTTTATATTTAAAATTATGAAAGGTCAAGGTTAGCATTCAGCTTCTTTATCACTTCGGTCAGCTCAATTACTGAACTGTTCAGCTGTTGAAGCGTAGCAACCAGGAGCTCATGCTGACTAGCATCTCTTTCATCCTTAACTTTAAGGCTATGCAGTGCAGCATTTAAACTTGCTACGGCTTGCGTTGTTTTCACTCGTGGATTGTGGTCTTTTATACCTGTCGAGGCAGTAGGGGTATCATTTAAGCCGAGTGTTTCGGAAACGGGAGTCTGTTGTGTTTGAAGCAGTGTAGAGTCTTGAGCTCCAGCGGCCATCGGGGACAAAACTAAGTCATTGGGTATGACCACCTCGGTTTCAATTATATCAATTTCTAGTGGTTGGGAGTTGCACGTTGGTTCCTAATGATAAATTATAATTTGACGTACATAAGTGAAATTCCTTAAATACTTTAGAAAGCTGCATATCACGGAAACTTACCTCATGCCCCAATGTACCCATGTTTAAGCGACCATATACTGCTGCCACCCCAAATGTTTTCAGCGCTTGTTGCTCGAATTCGGACACATATTCTGTCGGTGGTCCACCACCTGTTGCCTTTGTATGCTCTACGACCCTTCGTGCTCTGCTCCGCAGCTGGTTTTTCCATCCGGTTAATGTCTGTAAATGAGGTATATATGCACATACACACATGTGTACAATCATAATTAAAAGAAATATATGTATCTATGTACATACATGAAATACAAATTATATAAGAACATATTTATGCATTTATGTGAGCAGGTTTGCTCCGTTCCGTCGTAAATATACAAATTTCAAAAAAAAACTTTCTTTCCACTTCGCTACCGTGCGGGTGGGCCCACGCATTGCATTTAAGTTCTCCGCTAGCTGCATCCACAGAGATTCTATCAATTTCGGAGAACTTGGCTTGTTTTTTCCCGTTTATAGCTCCGGATGGTCCTTGCAAAATTGCACATAACACTGAAGCTGCTCCTGTGTGGTCGGATTTTCGGTAGGTGGTATTTTGGATGTCTGGAATATGTTAAAAGGTTTAAAACAACTAAATTTTAACTATTTCACATAAATACTCACTTTTCTGGTATTTCGCTGCTCATTTTTATACCCGAGCGCACTTGTGCACAAGGGTATATTAATTTTGTTCACATAACGGTTGTTTGTAACAGCCAAAACGAATCGAGATAGATATAGACAAATGTATACATAAATGATCAGGATGAAAAAAGAAATCGATTAAGCCATGTCTGTCTGTCCGTCCGTCTGTCCGTCTGTCCGTCTGTCCGTCTGTCCGTGTACACGATAACTCGAGCAAAAATTGAGATATCTCAACGAAATTTGGTATGTAGGTTTCCCTTAATCCAAGGTAGGTTGGTATTGAAAATGGGCGAAATCGGACTTTAACCACGCCCACTTCCCATATAACGGTAATTTCCAGAAATACGAAAACTGCGATATTTTAGTAACTACTGAAGATATTTCACTCAAAATTGATATTTACAATAATTTTTAGACGAAAAAAAAGAATATTATAAATTTTTGGAAAATGGGCGTAGCCACGCCCACTTATGGTTACATGTGTATATCTTGGTAACCGCTGCACCAATTTCTTCCAAACTTAGCACAGTTGTTGGCCTTCGCACAACATACCAAACGGCCGAAAATTTCTATAATCGCTCAATAACCACGCCTACTTCCCATATAACGGTTATTTTCAGAAATACGAAAACTGCGATATTTTAGTAACTACTGGAGATATTTCACTCAAAATTGACATTTACAATAATTTTTAGACGAAAAAAAAGAATATTATAAATTTTTGGAAAATGGGCGTAGCCACGCCCACTTATGGTTACATGTGTATATCTTGGTAACCGCTGCACCAATTTCTTCCAAACTTAGCACAGTTGTTGGCCTTCGCACAACATACCAAACGGCCGAAAATTTCTATAATCGGACAATAACCACGCCCACATCCCATATAACGGTAATTTAGAGAAATACAAAATCTTCGATAAATCAGTAAATATTGAAGCTAATTTATTCAAAATTGATGCTTGCAACAATTCTTTACCAAGAAATACGTTTATGGTAAAATTTTGGAAAATGGGCGTGGCACCGCCCACTTATGATCACATATATGTATATCGGTAACCGTTCTACTAATTTGTACCAAACTCGGTGTGGTTATTGTGCTTGCCACATATAAGCAAAAAGTTGAAAATTATTGAAATCGGACTAAAATAACGGCCGCTTCTCATATAACAGTAAATTTCAGAAATGCTTGAAACTTCAATATTTCGAATTTGGAGGACGCTAATTTACTCAAAACTGATACACCCCGGCTTACCATCTAGCGGAAGGTTTCGGAAAGGTGAAAAAACATATATTTAATACTTGCGCCGGGTATTTAATGTTCGGCTCCGCCCGAACTTAGACATTCTTACTTGTTTAATTTGAATATGAACGCTGATCAGCTGTTCCCGCAACAACAAACTTTTCACCATGAATGGTGAGTTGTAAAAGCTTTCACCTTGTCATCTTTGGTTAGGAATATCAGCAACAAATGGCAGTGACAATAAAAGATGGCAATTGTCCGCCGATGACAATTGTCAATCAAGGCAGGAATAGGGCTGTAAATTTTATTGCTTGGTATGGTATGCAAAAAATCCCGTTTTTCGATAGAAAATCTCATTCGCCCTTTTTAGTCATAACATCACGAAAAAAGGGCGAAATCCCGCAAACTGGCAATACTGACATACATGTATACTTACGTATGTACAAGAAAACAAAGAAATCAGTAAAAATAAAAAGATTTCTTATTTATTTAATTATGTATCGCGTACAGGGAAGTCAACTCACGGGAAATTCTCCCGCTTTGCAGGGAACTTCAGTTTAGGGGGCATAGGGGAACGGTCAGTTTTTTGCGGGAAATTGAATATGTTACGTTTATAACTTAAAGTAACCAAATTAGACGAATATGTTAACTTTTAACCATTTTTCGCTATCCGGAGCGACAATTTTTCAATTTGAATCATAATATCTCCACAACAAGAATTTTTCCAGATATAAGGTATATGCCAAATGAAAGCTAGGGTTTTGGGCTAGACTTGAGGAAACTTATAATAAAATCGACTGACCAGTTTTTGAGAAAATTCTCGAAATCTGTATTTTCAGCAGCCCGATTTTTAGTTTTTAAGCAATAACGTTATGACATATTTATACTTCATAAACGCAAAAGACCGCATGAGATAGCTTGTTTTAAGGCCCTTCTACTGATATCGACGTGAATGGTATGGAATGAGCAGTGCGGCCTCAGTGACCTGCCTTTTTTCGAATTTCAGGCACCAGCCACAAAGGAATACGAATCGAAACATCCTGGAACAAAACCATCCTAGTTTTTTTTGTACTTTAATTCCTGAAAGTTTTAAAAAAATTAAATGAAGGTACGTACAGATGCTACAAACATCGCAAAGCATCTCGTAGTGGAGACACGAACCAAAACACATTTAGCTCTATATCTTTACAACTAGTAGCCGGAACTCAATATATAAGGTATCGTTTGAAAGGTATTGCCCTATAGAATAACACTAAGTATGTCGGGTGTACCCTCATACCCCCTTAAACCGGCAAAAGCAAAATAACGTTTTTTGATTCGCAACACTTTAGCCTAATTTTTAAGAATTCAGATAATCGTTTATGAAACTTGAATAAATTTTCTGGACACACTCTACAAGACCTTTGCAACGATACCTCAAACATGTCTCTTGGACGTCTGGATAAAAACTTCCAAATCTTGTGTATATGTATAAAAGCGAGTCATTTCAGCATGCTACTGTGGCTGCTTTCGTCACTCGCGCGCACTGCCGTGCGCTGTGATATTGTTGTTATACAATTGTTTTTGTTTGTGCGCAGTGATTTTGCTCTTTTTGTGATTTCTGCTGTTTCATCTTTGTCACAGCTGTTTGCGTTGTGTTTATTAGGTGTCAAACATACAGTGTATTTAAAACTGTTCGCTACATAGCTTTCAAATCGATATTTACCAGCTGATTGGTTCTCTGATTTATACGTCGTTTTCAAAACTGTTTTACTTTTTTGCTTCTAAAACCTATACATAAATATCATTTCAAACATGTCGTGTATTTACACCAATTGCCACGTTAAAAGCGACTCCTATGTGTCATGCTGGCTCTGCGATGGGATTGCCCATATAAATTGTGCTGGTTTGAGCGGTAGGGTGTTAGACGCTATTAATGAGGGAAAGGATCTTCGTTGGTCTTGTCAACAATGTTGATCAACCGAAGTTGATTTATTTAAATTCATTAGGCAGTCCAGAAATGGGTTTTCGAGATCGGGAAGGATCTGTCGGTTCTTGTTGAGAAATTTAGGCATTACGAAAAAATGTTTAAGTCTTTTACATGTCTCGATACCCTCCACACTCTGATTATAGCCGAGAAAATAAAGGTAGGCGTGTTATTAGTCCACTTAAAAAGATAGTCACTGAATGTAGTCAGAAAAATCCTCCATCCCAGTCCTTGGAACTTATTAATCTTTCTTCTCCATGCCCTCAGGCATTGCAACCTCCGCTATCTAAAGCCATATCAACTAGGTCTACATCTAAAAATAATAACGTCAATCAAACCGTTGATTTAACAGTGTTGCCATCAACATCTGAAGCTACACTGTCTAACTTAGTTCCTCCGAATAATTCGGAACCCTGCACATCAGACATCATTACCAAAAAGTTGGTTGTAATTACTCCGAGAAGATCAATCTTTTTGTCTAGATTTGCTAAAGATACTTCTTCGGATGATATAAAGTCATACATATCGACTAAAATTAGAACTAAAGATGTATTTATTCGTAAATTTAATTTTAAATACGATCGCGATATTTCATCTTTTAAAATTGATGTAGCTGCCGAAGATTATGATTCACTACTAAATAGTTCATTTTGGCCGACCGGGGCGTTTCTTCGCGAGTTTGAGTATAAACCTAATAAAAGTAATAACAACGTAGCTAATATTTCTAAGCTTAATTCGGATTCAAAAAACTAACTCGCAAGTCTTATTTAAGTATTTACTATCAAAACGTTAGAGGTTTGAATACCAAATTAACTGACTTATATTTAAAAGGTTTTGACTGCAATTATAATATTATTTCCTTGACCGAAACATGGCTCAAACCTCATATTTTTAATTCCGAAATTCTTCCAAATGAATATCAAATATACAGGAGTGACCGCGTGGGCAGAATCGGCGGTGGTGTTCTTTTTGCGGTGCATTCATCGATACCATCCGAGGAAGTTAGTCTTCCTGTCATTGAATATACCGAATTTAAATGTATACGTGTACAGGCTGGAAAGACTTATATTTATTTAGCTCTTTGCTACATCCCTCCTAATTCTGCCGTATCGGTATATATGCAGCTAGTTTCTTTACTTGAGACCGTAAATGCAATGCTTACGGCATCCGATTCTATGATTGTTTTGGGCGATTTAAATCTGCCACATATTTCATGGAACATCATTGACACCGATGTTGTACCAGTTTCATCTAGAGATAGTTACAATGTATTTCTGGAGGAAATGGCTGAACTTTGCCTCAAACAAATAAATATATGTCCAAATAAGTTTGGAAAGGTCTTGGATCTCGTTTACGTTGATGATGTTCCGAAGGCCTCTATTAATCGGTGTGATCCCCTAGTTTTGCCAGAGGAAGCATACCATTCCGTTCTTGAGTTATNTCTAAAAATAATAACGTCAATCAAACCGTTGATTTAACAGTGTTGCCATCAACATCTGAAGCTACACTGTCTAACTTAGTTCCTCCGAATAATTCGGAACCCTGCACATCAGACATCATTACCAAAAAGTTGGTTGTAATTCCTCCGAGAAGATCAATCTTTGTCTCTAGATTTGCTAAAGATACTTCTTCGGATGATATAAAGTCATACATATCGACTAAAATTAGAACTAAAGATGTATTTATTCGTAAATTTAATTTTAAATACGATCGCGATATTTCTTCTTTTAAAATTGATGTAGCTTCCGAAGATTTTGATTCACTACTAAATAGTTCATTTTGGCCGACCGGGGCGTTTGTTCGCGAGTTTGAGTATAAAC